GTAGTAGCAGCAGCCATTATTAAAGGCATCTGGAGAGCTTCAGCTACTAGGTATCAAAACCTGTGGAAGCACTCTTAAAGAACAACAAGGCTGGATGTATCATGTTCTCTGATTTCAAACTATACTACAAAGTCACAGTAGTCAAAACAGTATGGTACTGGCATGAAAACAGATAGAGATTTCAACAGAATAGAGAGCCCAGATATAAACCAATGTATATAATCAATTAATCTATGGCATGGAGGCAAGTATATACAAAGTGGAAAGGACAGTCTCTTTAATAAAGTGTTGGGAAAGCTGGACAGTTACATGCAAAAGAATGAAACTGGACCACTATCTTACACCACATACAAAAACAAATTCAAAAGGGAAAAAGATTGCATATAAGACCTGAAATCATAAAACTTCTAGAAAAATTACAGGTAGCAATAAGCTCTTTGATGTCAGTCTTAGCAATATTTTTTTGGAACAGTCTCCCAAGACAAGGGCAACAAACACTAAAATAAACACATGGACTATGTCAAATAATCTTTAGCAAAGCAAAGCATCAACAAAAAGAAAAGGTAATCTACTGAATGGGAGAAGGTATTTACAAATCATACATCAGATAAGGAGTGAATATCCAATATGTATTAAGAACTTACATAACAACTGCAAAAAACACAACTTGATTAAATAACAGGCAGAGGGCTTGAATAGACAATTTTTCCAAAGACATACAGAGGGCCTACAGGCACATAAGATGTTCTACATAACTAATCATCAATGAAATGCAATTAAAACCATAATGAGCTAAACTTCACATCTATCAGACTGGCTAATAGTAAAGATACAGAGAATAGACTGGTAGTTGCCAGGGAAAGAGGTAGCTGGGAAAACGTACAAACTTCCAGTTCTACAATAAATACATCATGGAATGTAAAGTACAGCATGGTGGCTACAGTTAGTAATATTGTATTGCGTATTTGATAAGTTGCCAAAAGAGTAGATCTTACATTTTTCACAGGAAAAAAAAAATTGTGACTGTGTGGGGATGGATATGAACTAGGCTTATTGTGGGGATCATTTCACAATATATATTGAATCTTTATGTCGTACACATCAAAATAATATGTTATACATCAATCATATCTCAATAAAAAAATTAAGACAACCTAAAGAATGGGAGAAAATATTTGCAAACCACATATCTGACAAGAGACTTGTATTTAAAATATATAAAGAAATATTACCACTCAACAAAAACACAACCCTAAAAAAAAGAGCAAAGGATTTGTAAAGTCTTAACTCCAAGAAAAGATATACAAATGGCTAATAAGTATATCAAAAGATGCTCAACATCATTAGAGAACTGCAAATCAAAAACAATGAGATACCACTTCACTCACTGGGCTGGCTAAAATCAAATTAACAGAAATTAGTAAGTTGGCAAGTGGAGAAATTGGAACTTTTATAACACATGGTAGGATGACAAAATGGTGTAAGCCTCTGTGGAACAGTTTGTCAGTCCCTTAAAAAGTTAAACACAGGGGATCCCTAGGTGGCTCAGCGGTTTAGCACACCTTTGGCCCAGGGTGTGATCCTGGAGTCCCGGGATCGAGTCCCACATCAGGCTCCCTGCATGGAGCCTGCTTTCTGCCTCTGCCTGTGTCTCTGCTTCTCTCTCTCTCTCTCTCTCTCTCTGTCTCTCATGAATAAATAAAATCTTAAAAAAAAAAAAAGTTAAACACAGAATTACCATATAATCCAGTAAAGGTATATACCTAGGAATATACCTAAAGAACTGAACACAGGTACTCAAATACTCAGACATAGAATTAGAGCAGCACTTTTCACAATATTCAAAAGGTGGAAACAACTCAAATGTCCATCAATGAATGAATGGATAAGCAAAAATTGATACATACAACAGAGTATTATTCAGCCATAAAATGGAATGAAGTACTGACACATCATACAACGTGGATGAACTTCAAAAACATTATACTAAGTGACAGAAGAAAGATGCAAAAAGTCACATATTGTATGATTCCATTTATAGACAATATTCAGAATAGTTAAATCCATTAAGACAGACAGGAGGTTGGTGCTTGCCCAGGGGAGGGGGAAATGAGGTATGACTGCTTAATGAAAATGACCTGGAATAGATAGAGGTGGTGGTCACAAAAACTTGTGAATGTACTAAAATGTGACTGAATTGTATACTTTAAAATGATTAATTTTATGTTATGTGAATTTCACTTCAATTTAAAAAAAAGTACCAGAGAAGACAGTCTTTTCAATAAATGGTGTGGAGTTAGGTGGAAATAAAACAATGAATCTTGACATTTATCTCATACCACATACAAAAATCAATCCCAAGTAGATTATATAGCTTAATGTGAAAGTTAAATAAAGCCTCTAGAGCAACACTGTCTAACAGAACTCTGAGATGGTAGAAATGTTCTGTGCTATCCAATACTAGCAATATGTGGCTAGTGAGCACTTGGAATGTGTGAATACATTTACAATTTTATTTGGTTTAAATTTAAATAGCTACATGTGGTTAGAGGCTTGTATATTACCACATTTCTAGAAAATGATATAGGGACTATTTTCACAACCTTGGGGTAGGCAAAAAGACAAGGTAATTAAGTACTACCTAAAAACTCCATTAAGAGAGTGAGAGACAGTTACAAAATGGGCAAAGGTATCTGCTAAACAGACTGCCAACAGGATACATAAGGAAATCTTAGGAGTAAATAAAAGAAAGATTGACAATTTAATGGCAACATGTGAAAGAGGCTTGAGCAGGTACTAACAAAAGAGGACAGCCAAGGGTCACCTCGGTGGCTCAGTGGTTGAGCGTCTGCCTTCGGCAAAAGTCTGATCCCCAGGTCCTGGGATCAAGTCCCACATAGAGCTCCCCACAGGGGGGGTCTGCTTCTCCCTCTGCCTGTGTCTCTGCCTCTCTCTCTCTGTCTCTCATGAATAAATAAATAAAATCTTAAAAAAAAAAAAGAGAGAACAGCCAATACATGCATGAAAAAGTGTCTAAGTGCATATCATTCATTCATTACACATTCACATAATGGCTAAAATGGCATATTTAATACAGTCAAGGAAATGGTACAACTAGAACTCTCAGCACATATAATAATGTTAATTAGTATAAGCATTTTGAAAAACAAATTGGCCAAAAAAAAAAAAAACGGAAAGTTAAGGAAAGAAAAACAATTCGGCAAGATGTACTAAAACAACCTATATAGGGGTGCTTGGTTGGCTCAGTCCATTGAGTGTCTGGGTTCTTTTTTTCAGCTCAGGTCATGATCTCAGGGTTGTGAGATCAAGCCCTGTATGGGGCTCCTTGCTCAGGAGGAAGTATGCTTTAGATTCTCTCCTTCTCCGACTCCCCCTCCCCTGACTTGTACACAGGGAAACACTCTCTCTAAAATACATAAATCTTTAAAAAAAAAATAAAACTTCTACATACACTAAGATAAAACAATTACACAACAGAAATGCATACATAAGTGCACAAAAGGATATGTAAAAGAGTATTAATAGCAATACTCATTTAGCACTAGAAATAACCCAAATGTCTAGCAAAAGAACAGATACATGGTATATACAAACAATGGAGTACTATACATCAGTGAAAATGAACCACTGCTATATACAACAGGATGAATTTACCTCACAAATGTAATACTGAGTAAAGGAAGCCAGATATAAAAAATTTACTCTGTATGATTCCATTTATAAAAGTTCAAAAACGGGTAAAACTAACCTTTGGTGTTAGAAGACAGGATAATGGTTATCTTCAGGGAGAATGGAGGGGATAATAATAAGAAAAAGATGCAGAGGCTTTTGGGGGCTAGTAACATTCTATTTCTTTACCTGGATTGTTGGATGGTTCAGAATGTTAACTTTGTGGTAACTCAATGAACCATACCTTTAAATAGTGTGCACTTTGTTTAATCTCAACAAAATTTTTTCATTAGAGAAAACAAAACACAGTAAGGATATAGAAAACTTAAAACATATGATTAGCATATATGACCTAAAGAACAGATGAAATACTATACTTAGGGGAAGAAAAGTGAGGGACACAGCTAAAGAACACAACCAAAGACAATGGTAATTAACACAGGAGCCACGTATCTCCAAATTACAGAGCTTTAGTCAACTAAAGTTAAACGGCCATGAATCATTAGAGAGCTAATATATACAACTACCTTATTATCCCCACAAACTATTTTTCTATAATAAATTAGTTTAAAAGTATTAATAGTATTAAAGTATATTAATATAAGAATGATGGACATATAGCAACATAGCTATATACTACAAGAACTATAACTGTATTTTAAGAGGAGAAACTTTATCTATACTTCTTTTAACTCTCCAAAGAGCCTAGTACAGTTACTGAACACATGATAGACATAAAACTGATGGTTACATTATGTGTCTGCACATGCATGTTGTGTGTGTGTGTGTGTGTGTATAAATATACACACACGCATAAAACTTCACGTGACTATAAGGGGTCAGTTCTCCCAAACCCAAAAGCACTGCCCCAAAGATACACTGAAGAGAGAGACAAAATCATTATTTCTTTCCTCATGTTTTCTCCCAGTGCTTTTTAATTCTCTACTGTATGCAGGCAAAGAAACAACTATTGTCATGACAACCATACTGTGAAGTAGCTTGTCAGTCTTCACATTTTTTAAAAATAGATGCCATTATAAAAATTAACCCACTGTAAAGATGAATGAGAACCAAGTGATGTTTTGTATTTATCAAGGAATGCATTGCAGGTTACATGCCTCTGCTCAACTAAAGAGATGTTTCAATGTTTTTTTAGTTCTAATGGATATAACAGCATGCTAAGAAGATAAAAAAACCTAAAAGAAGGCAGCCAAATGCAAGTGTTCTTTCCATCATTTCACTTCTCTCTTTGCTGCATAAAATTTCAAAAGATAATGTGATGAACACAGGTGTAAAAAAATATCAATTACCCGATCATTCATGAGAAGATCTTTCACAATGAAAGTAGCTACCAAGGACTTCAAAGGAGCAGCAAATTGATCAGGTGCAAGGAGAGCAATATGTCCAATAGTAACCAACGGTGTTATGAGATGTTCCAGGTTGCTTGGATCTAGGCTCTTATGCAGAGGCTGAAAATGAAGAGAAGAAAATACATTCAACTCTATAAATATGCAAATAAACTATTCACATATTTCATGTACAAATAAAAAAGAAAACTACAAAAGTTTCAAGACATATACATGGTGTAAGTAGCAGCTTAAGCTTACATTTAAATTCCTATAGATTATGTCTAAAAGGCATCATGTTTAAATACTGTCAGTTTTGCTAAAGTCATATCTTAGAAGCAGGTAAAAAAAAATTCAGCATGGAGAATCATATTAAACGTATTTTATGACCAATATATGAGTATTTTAGAGACTGCTAGGCTCACCAATATCCACTTCCGTTCTACTTCCTGGATAAAAAGATGGCTATACATATGCAGCTTCCTCTGCAGTTAGATGAGAATATGTGAATAAGTCCTGGTTAACAGACTGGGGGGAAAAGTGTACATCATGCTCCCACTAAGGCAAGTATGAGAATCGTATCTTCTCCATATTCTTGCTCTTTACTCAGTGGCAGGCTTAATACCAAGGATCCAGTGGGATTTAAAGAGAAGCCACTTGTCAAAAAAAGGTCTATGTGTCTAAACCACTGATTAGAATGCAATCCAAACACACAACTGGACTTTTTCTCAGGAACCAGAAATAAGCTTTTATCATATAGAGTCACATGCATTTTTGTGGATTTCTGTAGCATCAAATATTAAGTACCATAACTAATGAAATTATTTTTATTATTCTTATAGAAAACCCAACCATTAATACACATTTTTCCCTGACAGAAGAATGAGACTCCTCATATACCTATACAGAATACATAAAATGTAATGTTAAATTTTTAAAATAGAGAAATTAGAAGAGTGACTATAGTATACTATCACTGGTGGAAGGGGAAGGGGACAAAATGTATGTGACTGTGTGTATTATGTTACTTGTATGTGACAGAAAAGTATATTAGAAACTGGTAACACTGGTTACCTCTGGGAATGAGAACTGAGTGCCTGGGGATACAGGGCTGAGGTGGAGGAGAAAATTTACTATTTTACTATTTGTTTTGTACCTTTTGATTTGGAAGCAAGTAAATACATTATTAAAAATTTTAGTGACATTTTATTTTAATAGAGTTGATGCTGTCCTCCCATACTGAACACCAAAGAGTCTAGGCCTGAAAAACAGTATTAAGCTCTTCTCCAACATATTAGGGCAATGGGCAATATGAGGCTTCATTTAGTCAAAAATATATTTAAATGAGTTTACTTTGTGCTAATCTTGACAACTTCCCTCAATCATCTAAATGCCAGCTTGTTTGTTATAAAAATATGATCATGTAGTTTTTTTCAATAATGAGTGTGATATTTTTACACAATAAGATAATACGGTCATTTCGGTCATCAATACGGTCATTTCTGGAAAAGCAAAATTAATAGACCGTAAATTAACAGTAATCACATGAAGGCCAGATAGCTCTACAAAACCTTTTCTCAGAAAGCTAACCAACCTATACAACATTATAGCAGAAGGATTACAACTTATGGTAAAGATAAAATATCAGATATATAATATCAAAATGAAATTAAAAGCATACTACTAATTCAAGTTATTATCAGCATTATCCCGATCCTTATCACCAATGAAAGGAACTGAAAGATTAATCAAGAAAAACAAAAGATTTCTGTATCAACATGAATTCATTAAAGTTATTCTGATATACGAAAACAGACGAAAAAAAAAGCCCCACCTCAAAATGCACAAAATTTTAAAATAAATTATTTGCTATATACAGAAAAGATGATGTTTGATAAAGACAAATAATTTTCTTCCTTGTTCAGGTCTTTAGCATATAACATGAAATATGAAAAAGTTAGCATAAATGTTTCTAAAACAGAGATAACAAGTCAAAGTTTTTAGGGTAATTTAGCTTCGGCATGATTTCCAAATCACTCTGATTTCATTCAAGGCACCGGAACTAAAATTACAAATTTGGATTTATGTAAAAATGCTAAATATATACAAAGCCCAGATTACAAGAGATTAAAATAAAAATAGAATGCAATGCTTAGAAAGGGTAATAGTAATTTAAAAGGTAGAAAAAATATGAAATATATATTTTAAAAACAATTTAATTTGATATAAAATTAGGTCAGTGATTATATATGAACTATAAATTTGTGCTTTACATATTGGCTATACTGTACCGATTAGTATTGACAAAATTCCATATACTTCAGCAGTATCATAAACAGAACTCTAATTTTCAACCCGTAAACTGACAGAAACATCTATTACCTATTATCAATAAGTATGATTTTATATATAATTACTTAACAAAAGTTTCCTAATACTAAATATATAATTTGACATGTATAATTTCAAAAAATATAAATTGTTTGATTTCTGAATTTAAGTTAGTGCTAAACATCTGAATAATCAGATATTTTCATATTTTAACCATTCACCAATATAGATTATACTGATTCAAATTCTGAAAACATATTATAAAATGATCCATCTCCAAATGTGAACATTCTATAAAATCATTATTATGTGTTTTTTAACTATAACATATGAAACAAACAATTTTTTTTCTTTTTACCTCAAATATCTGTGCAAACTGGGTCTCTTTACTAGAAAATATCGCATGGATACAATGAATGGCATATTTGGCTTGGCGGGGGGGTCCTTTTTTAGATTTGTGATGTAAAACAGGAAGCAAAGCTCTAAAAAATAAAAAAAAAATTAAACAAAAACAATAAACCAGAAATATCAGCAAGACTCCACTAAATACTTTACAGTTTGTATTCTTTTAGGTAATGTTTCGTAAGACCAAAAAAACATCTACCTGAACTCATTTTCAACTGTCTCTAATTCTGTTTTATAAACATCTACATTAAAAATGTAATCCAAACACAAGTTTTTTTCCTCCTTTTTACTTAACAATTCTGAATAAAAACACGGAAGGTAACCCATTTCTTAATGTCATTCCCTTTAGCCTTTTCTCTTTTATTCTCACTGCTATCACTCCAGCTAAGCTGCTGCCACCTTATATATACGACCAATATAATGGGACCTATACTATTTGTTTTTTAGTCTCTTCCTGCTCTGATTCATCTTTCACTTCATACCAGCACAATCTACATAAAGGGAAATCTGATTATAAAACCTATACAAATTGTTTACCTTGTTTCAGGCATTATTAGAAGTCCCAAATGCTTGCCTTCATGCTATCAGCATATTATGAACAAGACAAATGACAATACACAAATTAGTAAAATATGTGTTATGTCAAATTATGATAAGAGCTATGGAGGAAAATAAGGAAAAAAAAGGACAGGATAGAGAGTGGAGAGGGGTGTGTGAGTACTACAATTTTAAAGAGGGTAGTTACAGAAAACCTTTCAAGTAAAGTAACTAACATTTGAGTAGTTATAAGGGAAGTAAGGAGTGAGTCATGTAGCTACCTGGAGGAACATTCAGATATGGTATCATTACACTACACAAAAATTTAGAATGAGTACTGAATATAGCAGGATCTCTTGGCTTAACTATTTATTTAAACATTTATCTCACAGTGAAACCAACTTCTGAATCTACCTTCTTGCCCAATACAAACCCAGTATTCCAGTATTAAGAAATCATATATACAGAAATTCATCACAATAATAACTGAGTGTCACAAAAGATGCCAGCAGCAAAGTATAGTAAAAAGACAAGTGACAAATTGAGGGGAAATTCTCCATTTCATTTCACAGAGAAAGGGTTAATATCCCTAACGTAAAGACTTTCTACAAGTATAGAATGACCAGCAATTATCATGGACAAATGGGTTGGACATAAAAAAACAGAAAGTTCCTCAAAAGTAAATATACAAAGTAACCTGTGATGTATGAAAAGACGCTTACCTTCACAAAAAAAGATATAAATTGAAACTATACTAAGAAGACTTCTGCTTCACATGATAACAGTGTATCTGAGATGGGACATTCTCCTACCTTAAGCAGGCAGAAAACAAACATGTTAAAGGTTGTAGACACTGGACAACAAGCAGTACATGACTGTAATCCCTAAAAGATGGGAAACAAACTAGAAGAGTGTAGGACTCTTCTCTTCCTACACCTATCCTCACTTACTGCATGCAAGGCTCCAGAATGCCATGTAAGCCAGAAGTAACCTTATACTTAGAGCCTGGTGGACACATGGAGTTAAGGGAGACCGAGATGGAACTTGAGGCAGCTCTAATTTCTAGGGCAGAGTACCACAGGGAAGAGAGCTGCAAAGACAGCAAGAGAGCTTGAATTCTGGAGATCCTCAGAGGGGATTGACTGAATAATGATCAGTGTGCCATGGCATGAGAAAAAAACCCAACCAAACAAACTACTGGAGCCCAGGAAAAGAACACTGGAAAGTAGTAAGCCAAAAAGTTCCCTAACACACATAAGACTGCTAGTGATTCATGTTTCCACCAGCCAGGGTAGAAAGACCTTGTAATACATAATCAGGAAAAAAATTCATCAACAGAAATAGGCCCAGAAATGGCACAGGTGAAAAACTTAGAAAAGACATTAAAACAGCTATTATAAACATGTTCCATATGTTCAAGAAGAAAACATGAACATGATGAGGGCAAAAATGAAATACATAAAAAAGACCTAAACTGAACTATTAAATATGAAAAACAGAAAACCCGCAATGAAAAATATACCAATAGGATCAAAAGTAGATTATATGTTACAGAAGAAAACACCAGTGAACTTGAAGACATAGCAATAGAAACTATGCAAAATAAAACAAGAAAAAAAAAAAAAAAGAACAGAGCATCAGTGACCTGTAAGACAGTATCAAGTAGTCAAAAATACATGCAACCAGAGTCCCAGAAAATAAAGTGAGGAGAGCAGAACAGAAAAAGTATTTGAAGACATAGTAGCCACTATTTTTCCACATATGATGGAAATAGATCCATAGTCCTCAAAATCTCAATAAGCCTCAAGCAGAAGAAACATAAAGTAAACCATTCCAAGACATGTCATTATCAATTTGGTAAAAACAGCAATAAAGAAAAAAAGTTTTAAAACTATCCAAAAAAAATAAATAAAACTATCCAAAAAAAAAAAAATACACTTTACATACAGAAACACAGAACATAGAGAGGAACACTTCTCATCATAAACTATGCAATCCAGAAAATAATGGAGTGACATCGGTACTAAGTGAAAATATCAATCTAGAATTCCATTCTGAGAAAAAATACCTTTCAAGAATGAAGGCAAAATAAAGACTTTTTTTTTTTTTTTCAAAGAAAACCTGAGATAATCAATTACAAGCAAAACTATACGGGGATGCCTAGGTGGCTCAGTGGTTGAGCATCTGCCTTTGGCTCAGGTCATGATCCTGGGGTCCTGGGATGGAGTCCTGCAACAGGCTCCCCCTGCAGGGAACCTGCTTTTCTCTCTGCCTATGTCTCTGCTTCTCTGTGTCTCTCATGAATAAATAAAATCTAAAACAAAAACAAAAACAAAAAACAAGCAGCAAGCAGAAGTATACAATAAATATTAAAGTTATTCAAGAAGAAAAAGATACCAGTTGAAAATATGTCTATCTAAAAAATGGAGACTGACAAAAATGGTAAATGTGTGTATACAAATAAATCGGAGCATAATATTTTAAAGGAAAACAGTTAATTAGTCACATTTGGAAGATGCTAGTAACTACTATTTTGAACACTGTTCAAGAACACACACAAAAAAAACCCCCAAAGCATTTAATGTGCTTTTCCTAAACAGATGTAATGCTGGGGAACCAGAGAATAGATAAGATATTCCTGTTTATAAAAGTATTCAGCTAATAAATGAAGAAAGAATGACAGAATATCACAATTACTAAGTATCCATCAGTTCCAACATCATAAAAAGAGAAATAACCAGATATCATGTGTCTCCTGATAGAAGAGCATACCACCATCTATAAAGTGGTCCTATAATAACAAAAAAGTTGAGCTAGAATCCAACCAGGCCTCTGCATTCAACTATCTCGCTTTACAGTAAATATAAGGAATCCATTAAAATATGCCAAAGGCATACATAGCAAAAATCAATGTATGTGAAACTCTGCAAGAGAGTTTATCAAATACAAAGTGACAAAGAGAATTGGAAGGGGAGCCTACAAGAAATAAGGCACTTTAAGAGATTTAGCAACAAATAACAATGTGATCTGATTTTTTTAAATTACATTTTTGGGAAAACTGGATATTATTAATATTAAGCAATTAATGTTAACTATGTGATATAGGCATTATGTTTATTTTTTAAGAGTTCTTATCTTTTAGAGATACTTAGATGTACAGATGAAATATACAATCTAGCATTTGCTTTCAAATGTAAGTGGAATAGGGAGTAAGGAGAATTATAAATTAAAAGCAACTGTTTAAGTTATTCATATATAAGCTAGTTGTTGGATACATGGGAGTACATTATAATATTCTAGTTACTTCTATATATGTTTGAAAATTCCAATAATAAAATGTATAAAAAATAAGAGTCTCACCAAACTATCCTTATAGTCTGTGGTTTATAAGCTTCTTTATGAAATGAAAAAATATTATCTTTTGGTAACTTCAGAAACTCCCTGGATAAGACATATCTTCTCCTAGATCAGACTTGCCAATACAAACATCCATAATCCCTTTTCTTAGTCATCAAGAGAAAATTACAGGTAACACACATGTAAAAAGCAATTCTGGTTGGAATTTTTAAAGACAGAATGAGAAATTTTAAGCTTATCCAATGTTTTGCATACCCATTTAAATAAAAAAACAGAAACAAACCAAAACAATAAAGAAAAAACACTTTCAAGGATTCTGAAGTACTAGGCAGAGTCTGAGATGTTAATGAAATGTCAATGAAACAACTATCCTCTGATTGCTTTTTCTATTAATAAGTTCCTATTATAAAAAATACCTTATTTCCCCCATTAAAGTGATTTTTCAATTCAAGGTTGTTTTTGTCCAATAATGATACACATGCAGAAAATGCAAACAAAACTGAAAAACACATTTAAAAAAACACTAAGGAAAACTCAAAATTCCACTACCCTGAAATAATTACTGCTAACATTTTGGTGACTATAGGTCTAAAATTTCTCTCATCATACATACATATATTAAGTAAATGAGGATACAAAATACATAGTATTTGGAAATATTTTTTCACCAACAATGCTGGAGGGAACCTCCTATGTCAAGTATTGCTAAATGCTAATTTTAAAGGTCATATGGCTCTTTAGTGGATAGCTACATCACAACTAGTCTAATCAATTTCCTACTAATGAGCATTTAAATGTTTTGGATTTTTTGTTTAATCTTAACAAAACCATGAACATCCTAATGCTAGTTATTTACATAGTGTTTCTGGGCTTTAAGCCTCCTATAATTTGGTCTGAGATCCTGGCACTGTAAATCTGAAATTATATTTCCTAGACTCCCTCAAGAGCTGGTTTCCCGTTAGGTTCTTCCAATAAGAGACACCAGAGCTTCCTTAGGTATTCTGTGCAGTACTTACACCACCCCTCCAGCAACAGCTAGGACACTTCTACTGTGTCAGCTGGTTGGGCAATACTGACAGGGCTCTTCCATCCACTGGATAGTCCTTAACATCACTTTTCAGTTGTTGCTCCAGCCCCAAAGGTGGTAGCTGCTTCCAGCAATTCATCATCTCTGGGTTACCAA